CAGGTTGAACCGCGAGTTGATACAACGCGAAGGCCGTAGTCGTTGAGCAGGTTTCAAAACCAAATAAGAAGAAACTAGCTGCTTGTGCCAAAAGATCATCGTCATCGAATGCTGGAATTTAATACATCTTTAGAGTTTTGAAGGCTTTTGATACCTGCCGCGATTAAATTTGATTATCATGATTATTGATCGGACTTTTGACGGTTACTCTGATTTTGTCATCGTAAGCCGTTATGTTACACATCTTTATTTATACTTATATAAAAACTTATATATAAGTATAAATAAAGTAAACGTAATTATTTCACTTACTAAAGTCTTCAATTCTTTCTTCATAACTACTGTTCCTCTTGAGCTCGATCAGAATATCGATGAGGTCGTTTCTCTTCTCGCCAGATTTCATGCGCCTCGTCATTGTATGCCAGAAAATTTTACGCAGAAGATCGGTGGTCTCGTTTTGAAACACTTTTAGTTTACCCATACTAGTTGCATGTGGAAGAAAGAACATGTGGAGCATCTTATAGCCGCGGTTATATTTATCTTTTAACATTATTTTGCCCAGTTTGCTGAAATTTGGATCTTTGAACATGTTCGCATCGAGTCCATAAGCAGTGCTCCAGATTACATCCATGTTTAATTTTGAACTTACATCCATTACATCTATTATTTGTCCATTACCTGCCGGCAATGTCATCAGTTGATTAAATCTATTTAGCTTGTAGATATTATACTGATATTCGCATTTTTATTATCACGGGCAAACATCTTTATGCGTAGAACAACATAAATTGTTTTAACACCACAAACATTTTACAGATGATTGTGATTATAGTCACAATCTTTTCCTCCTTTCTAAATTGTCTAATTTCACGACTTGTTCAATAGAATCCTCGGACTTACCATACAATTTCAGTGAGTCAAGATATATATTTAAATGCTTCCCGCATTCTAGCATCAGAGCAAACATTTTCTCCAGTGTACTGTTATTAAAAAATGGCGTCAATTTCGTTTTTAATTTCATCCAACTTGGATTTTTGATGAAGAAGAGATTGGCGTAACCAACACGATCCTTTGGATCGGCCGAAGAGTACCGATCGCAGAAATAATGAAAGTCTGTTATCAAGACGTGATTAATGATTTCGCGATTGCGTAGCAACAAGAAGGGTACGTCAGAAACGTAGAAACCTATATAAGGTTTACTATTATCCTTCGCTCGATCGTAGAGTTCCTTTAGAAAGTATGACGGGGCTTTCTCTCTATTTAAGCATTCCTTAAAATTACCGTCGAAAATTGTTGGTGTTATTTCCAGAACGCCTCGTTTTTCCCAGTATTTAAAATTGCCAGTCATGAGAAAGTAATAGCTTATAATGAGAATTGTTACCATTATTGTGCCATCTAGGATCCAATAGTCCGTCATAAATGCCATTTCGCAGCTTCTCTATAAAAATATTTTTCTTACATTTGTATAAAAATAGAGGACGTTATATTTTAATATTTTAGGAGATTGAAGAGATATTAGTATCACTAACTTAAAATATAATGATTAATCGGTATTTAAGACATTAAGAAAAAAAGGCTTTTGGAAACTCTAGAAATATAGGCAATTGTTATTTAACAAAGACACAAATCATGCTTTCTGGACATCTGTTGTAACATGATTGTTTGATTCTAGTTCTTTTAAAGTTCTGTTTTGTTAACGCGATATTTGTAATTTAACTTTCCGCGGAATTTGATTTAGTTTCTATGTGTTTCAATTAACGTATCTGATTCTAAGAATATTAACGAGTAATAAAAAAATATAGACTTGAGAATCTAACTCAGTTAGTTGTGCGTAAGTTAACGTTATGTAGCGTGAGTTAACATTTAATTAATAATTTAATACAAATTGCAGCCTTATAAATAAAAAAAGGATCAAAGGAATTAACTAATAAATATTAATTCTTAGGGTGTTATGTGATAATGTATAATCTACTTACAGTCAACAATCACTAGTGTTTGAGTTCGATACGAGACAATGCTTTCTGTCTAAGATCAGCGCAACGACTGAAGGTTTAGCCTCGATTACAAGGTGAAAATGGTACCAACTTCAATATTATGAAGTATATGTATAAAAGAAAAATGCTTATCAATAAATAAAACAAGAAAATAAATAAAAACAAATAGAAAATGTCAGTTATATGAAAGTCTCTCGGTGAATAATCATTACAATGACACACCTAATGTGTCCTCTTGTAGGTTATTGCTATTATTTTATCTTTTAATGTAAAACATTTCAGAGATACTTTTCTTAATGTAAAATTTTTCAATATATATGATTTTAATATTATTATTATCTCAGATAAATTTGTGTCCATTTGATCTATGTTTTAAAACTACAAGGATAGTTAATTTAAAATAATAGTCTAATATTTTGGCTAACGAAAATATTTCGCGAAACTGTAAATTCTGATTTTAATAAAACTCTCCATTCAAAAAAAAATATTTTTTAATTTTTAATAAACTTCTTTTTTAAATTATTTTTTCAAAATATTATTATTTAATTGTTGAATAGCGTTTTTACCATATAACTTTTGTGTAAAATATTTTTTTATATTTCAAATATTTTTCGTGCTTTCACCCTTTAAAGCGTTTTTAGGCCGCACCAGAAGATTTCTAAATTCATCTTCTTACCTCCTCTATATGTATGAAAAGTTTCATTAAAATCAGAATTTGAGGGTTCTCGAGGTTTCCTTGTGAGTTGGTTGCGATGCTCCTTAACCCAAGAACGTGCACGTGGGCCACGTGGAGTGATTTTAAACACCCCAGTGTCGAAAAGGTGAAGCTTATGTCACAGTAAGTTTCTGTATCGATCGAAAATCCGTATCTACCCTTCATTCGAAGGTTCCGAGACCTAATCCATATAATAAAAAGAATTTAGGATCTGTACTTGCAATTCAATTGAGAAACTTAGACAATCTTTGCTTTGGGATACAATCCGAGTTATTAATTTCCGGTGTTTGTTATTAATATCGTACATTGGTTGATTTTATAAATTATTTTAGAGCGCAAAGAACAGAATATCCAGCACAACATATTTATTTCTATTAATTTTTACATTCCATCACAGATTTCTTATCAAAACGCTGTTTGAGTCCATAAAAAGATAATAATACATACTTCGTCTAAAAAAGTATTCCGTCAAGTTTTAAATAGCATTAGTATTAAGTTTTCGGACATTGAGATATAATACACCGTTTAATGGCAATGACATCGGTTCTCTTGGATCAATTTTTACCGAAGTTTTCGCGCACGATTCCACTTCGTATTTGCTCAAGATCATAAGCAGTGTTAACTTTATTTGTATAAGCCCGAAGCGTCGACCTACAAAACATATAACAGTATAATATTGTAATATTTTAACGAAGAAGAACTGAACAAATGTATATTATTATCTTTATATATAAAAAGCTTATATTTTATATTAAAATTTATTTTCTTACCTATACACTCATGTGAGCCTTCTCCAAATGGTAAATAGACGCCTGACGGTCTCTTACGTTTGTTCCTTTTTTTAAATCGCTCCGGATCGAATATATCGGGATTGGGGAAATATTCTGCATCATAGTGTAGGCCAAGTATCGAGATGTAAACCGGTGTACCTTCCTCAATTACAAGATCGTACTTTGGCACTTTATAATTTTTCGTAGCCATGCGATTTAGGAACCCCAATGGCGGGTACATTCTCAAAGTTTCTGATACCACCATATCGAGATACGGTAATGACGTTTGTATCTGGTAATAATAAACAATGCATA